TAGCCCCCCCCCCCCCCCCAAAAACCCCCCCCCCCCCCCCCGGGGGACCCCGAGCCTCGCCCCGACCGTGCTGAAGGCACTCGTCACTTTTTCAGCATCCTTTTAGGTCTTAGCCGTCAGAGCCTGCTCTGATTCTATGGCTTGTTTTTTACTAAAGGAATTATTGCCTCACTTGATCTCTCACTTCTTTAACCAAACTTGTGGCCAAATGACATTCGGCTATTTCCAAAATTCAGATCCATCCTCTGTGGACAAAAATTTGTCACCAATGAGTAATGTGTCTCCACTCTGTGATGGTGTTCTTGACACACTTTTAGCACTGAGCTCAGAGCAGGCTCTCAACAGACTACTTTGATTATCGAGGCTCTCAGCAGACTACTTTGAAGGCAACGATAATCAGGTGCAAAAGCTCTTGTGTGTTTATTTAGAATATTAGTGTCGCTTTCTGAGCAGCCCCTACCCTGCGCAGGCTGAGTCCCAGGCCTGTCCTCTGCAGCGCCACCTTCTTGCTCACATCCACATTTCCATTTGTGTAGTTACCACCTTCCACCTATATAGTCACTCTTTTGAATGCTGGCACCCCCATATGCTAGGGCACGACAATGGTGACCTTTCACCTGATGTAGTCTATACTCTATAGACCACGTACATAGACTCTATAGCGCAGTTTATTCCAATCCCTATTTTTGGAAATGTTAATTTGGTAAATTTAAGAGATGCACACATATAATTTAAAACTTCAAACATTGCAAAAGAATGTGTGTCTTTCTCCCTGAGTTCCCTGGTTCTTCTTCATAAAAACGACCATGGTGAGAGATTGGACAAGGGGCATAAAAAATAATTACGATTTGTAACAATATATATGCTAGTAATATTGATTTGATCAACATATCTCAATGTTGAACCCCCAAAATATGTATAATCAATTTTGATTCAATAAAAACAAACAAACAAAAACAACATGGTGCAAATGACATTTGACTATTTCCAAAACTCTCTTGTGTATTCTTCTGGTTTGAGTGTAACATGCATATACTCCCCACCTTCACTTAACACAAGCTGTGGGATGCTATATTCACCTGCTATTTACACTTTAAAATACATCTTAGAGACCTTTTTGTGTCAGCATCATAAATCCTGCTTGCTCTTTTTAATGGCCACAGAGTGAGTACTTCATAATATGGATGTGCCATATTTGATTTAACCAGTTCCCTAATGATGGACTTTTAGGTTGTTTCCAATTTTTTTTGCTACTGCAAACAGTGCTGTAATAAATGTCCTTATCAAAAATGTCTTGTGTACATTTGTGGATATATCTATAAGATAAGTTTGTAGTTTATAACCATGACATGTTGGGTGAAAGAGTATTACATTTTAAATATTGATAGGTAATGCTAAGTAGCCTTCCATACCAAACCTGTTTTTCTATTATTTTCATCTGCAGCCACAAAAATGTGCACAGATAATTATGACACTTCTGTCAGTCCTTCTAGACATCCGTATATACACCCGTCCCCTATCGGTCCCCCTCAGACCCATGAGCACCCTCTTGGCCCCCACTCTGTTGCACATCCGAGAGCCCAGCTCCCTGAAAGTGACTCTGGGGCCCTGGCAGCCCTTTGGTGTAATGAATCTTGATCCATGATTTTGGAGTCTGAGGATGCCAAGAATTGGGACAGGAGAGCGGCTGGCGGACATACACAGTAGACATGACCAGGACCCTGAGCTAGCTGTGTCTGCCCCCCACCCCTTGCAATGCATACCACACCCAGCCGTTCCCTGGGGGTGAGGGGATGTATGGATCTGGCAGGAGGGGCCATTAGAAGCTGATAAGACAGGGCTGAGGGGACAGAGCCCAGCCAAGTCCTAGCAGGGCTCCTGTGGACAGCTGTTGGAGAAGTGACCTCAGGCCTGGATGTGCAGAGAGAAACAACTGCCTGTTCTGGGCCTCACCCACCTGTGCTGCTTTCTTCCTGGGGCTCCAGAAACCACACTCCTAGCTATCCACTCCTCCATAGTCCTGTGGCTCCTCCTGCTAGGCCGTGCTCTAGTAGGCAGAGAAACTGCTCTCTCAGCAATCCTTGAGAGCTGGACCTGGACAGGGCTGCAGCAGTCAACTTGCCTGCTTGCTAGGCCTGAACCCCTCACCCAACTCTGGACCTTGGCCAGTATATGGAATAGGACAGCCTGGGAAACAAGTAGTGTAAGTTTTAAGTCTCTTTTTATGATTAACAATCTCTTAGGTAACAAGGTGCTCTGAGCCTGAGCCTCAGTACACATTTTTGTATACATTTTGGCCAGAAACAAGGGCAAAGTAGCTCCTCTACATGGCAGAAATTTGCTTCCTTGGCTCTAGGTTTGATGGGGGACTTTTCTCTGTTCTGAGGCATCACTTTGGCAAACCCTCTTGGTCAACTGGATGTGAAGGCACATCCACACTCAGTATGCTTGGTAGTTCAGGATCTAGGGAAGCCCTCTACTTCACACTGGAATGCCCAACATCCCTCTGCAGAGAAATACCCCATGCCTTCTATCCCAGCTTACAAAATGCATCTGCAACTCAATTGCAGCTTTTGGAGGTGAAAAAAAGAACCATGAAAGACAATATCACACATTTATCTGGGCAATTATTTACCACTTTTTCTCCCCCCATAATTGTCTAGGATCTTAATGTTCAAGAGACTTCTGTGCATAGAGAGAGACCACTACAGCTTGTGCTGTGATGCTCATTGTCTTATGTATAATTTCCTAAGCATTTAAATAATTTATACTTAATCAAAACATAAAAATGCATAAATCAAATTATTTCAAATATTTAAATGTCTATTACAAACTTAAAAGTCAAATTCTTTTTTTTTTTTTTTTTTAAAAAGATGACCGGTAAGGGGATCTTAACCCTTGACTTGGTGTTGTGAGCACCACGCTCACCCAGTGAGCAAACCGGCCATCCCTATATGGGATCCGAACCTGTGGCCTTGGTGTTGTCAGCACCACACTCTCCCGAGTGAGCCACGGGCCGGCCCTTAAAAGTCAAATTCTTCTAAACATTTCTATAAACCCTGAGTCAATGGAAACGTCTACATACCTAGTTAGTATCTCATTATGGTTAGTGGGATCAACCAGAGGTTCCTGTATACAGAGAGGGGACAGAGCTTGTACAGTCAGCTCTCCATCTAGGACATGCTGTTGGACCCTTCTTCCACTCACCACATTCCCTCTGCACCACCAACCACAATCCCGAAATTTGTGTTTACCATTCCCTTGCTTTTCTTTATAGATTTACTTTCTATGTGTATACTCCAATACAAGATTATTTACTTTTGCATGCTTTAGACTTTAAGTGGAATTATATGCATTATTCTGAGTCCTGCTTTTTTCACTCAAAATTACATTTCTGAGATTCATTCATTTTCACTAGACTTTTTATTATAAAGGTATATTTTTATATTTAATAAATATATATATATAAGTATGTTGTAATTTATTTAGACGTTTGTATTAGAATTGATTACGTTTTGAAAAATAGAAAGCCCCCAATAACAATGTATATTAGTCAGCTTTTGCCATCATCCTGCTGCATAACAAATTATCCTAAAACTCAGTGGCTTGCAACAACATGCAATTATTCTTACGCTTGTGGGTCAGCAGGTGGACTGTGGTTCTGTTCATCACTATGGCATTCCCAGTGGCTCTGCTTCAGCCTGTGGATCAGCTGAACCTGGCTTCTAGGCTGCATGGGTTCAGTTCTGCTCCAGGGGTGCTATTTCTGGCCTTCAGGGTGAGGGGTCAGTGGCTATCTGGGGCATGCTCTTCTCACTACAAATCACTAGAGCATGAAAACTAAGTTTCACCACAAGTCCTCTGGTTGTATCACATCTACTCACAACCCATTGGCCAAAGCAAGTTGTATGGCCAAGTTCACATCAATGGGGCAGAGAAGTAGACTTCTTTCACAGTGGGAAGGGGAAAGGCGCAAATATATGCTGAACAATAATACAAACTAGTGCACAGTGGTTTAAACGTGATAGAAGTTTATTTCCTTCTCATGTAAAAAAGCCCAGAGATGAATGGTCCAGAGTGGGATAGCAGTCCACAGTGACAGAGATTGAGGCTCCTTTCACCTTGTTGTCCTGCTGTGAGTGATTTCCTTTCCTAAAGTCACCTCATGAGTCAATATGGCTGCTCCTGCCCCAGCCATCAATTCCGTGTTCCAACCACAGAAAAGAGCAAGGGGGAAGGAGAATTGCATGCCCACTACCAGAAACTAAACACACCACCTCTGCTTAAAACCTATCGGGCAGAACTTGGTCATATGGCCACACCTAGCTGAAAAGGAGGCTGGGAAATATAGTTTTCATTTGGAGAGGCTAAGCGTCTAGTTAAAAATCAGGAGTCCTAAAAGGAGGGCAAGCGAATCCCAGGGATGGGGGCAATTTGTAATCTCTGCCACATCACTGTCCTGTCAATAGACATTTGAGCTGTTTCATATTTTTACTATTACATACTTTGTGGCAGTGAATATTATTGTTAAGAGTTTCTTACGGAATATGACTAAGACTGGGATTCCTGAATGATAAGGTATGTGCATCATTAACTAGACACTGACAAATTGTCCTCCAAAGTAGTTGTGCTGATTTACGTTCTCACTAGAAGCATATGAGCCCTCGTACACAACTGCCTCACCAGCACCTGATACTGCCTACTTTTATCATTTTTGTAAATCTGATGAGAACGAAATAAAATCTCATTATGGATTTAATTCTCTGATTAGCAATGATATTGAACATTGTTTATTATGTTTATTGAATATTTGTTCTTCCCCTTCTGAAAAATGTCTGTCAAAACTTCTAAGCATCTTTCTATTTATTGGTAAGTAAGTTTTTCTTTTTCTCACTGATTTTTAGACGTTTCTTTGTATTTTCTGGATACAAATCCTATATCAGCTACATGTGTCACAAATATCTTCATCAGCTTGCAGCTTGTTTTTTCATTCTCTTTATGGTTTCTTTGTTCATTCCTTTGATGAACAAAAGTTCTTAATTTAGTCAAAATTACCATTTTTTCCCTGTGTGGCTTGCAATTTTGAGTTATGTTTTAAAAACTCTTTCCTACCATGAAATCATGATGACCTTCCTCTGATGAAATTCCCCATGATGATTTTCTTCTAATGCTTTCATAGTTTTGATTTTTACGTGTAATTAATTTTTACATATGATTTAAGTAGGGACCCAATTTTTTTCCTTCACATGGATAACTGATTGTCCTATATATTTCCTAATTGCTTGAATTTTTGGTTTCTCCCTAATTGAATTATATACAGCAGGAATTTTAAGAGCCCTCTTGGAAATCAGCTGGAAGCTTCTGACCTATTGATCTCTGATGCCTGTATGATGTTTGTTTTCCTGCATCTAGTTGGAGCCAAGGGACCAGGTTCTGCCTGATGTATTGAATAGTTCGGTTTTCCTCCACTGATCTGCACTGTCAGCTCTGTCATAGATCTAGTTTCCAAACATGTGTCCTATTTGTCAATTATTTTGGCGTTAACACATTGTCTGAATTACAATAGTTTCAAATATATTTTCATATCTGTTTGTGCAAGTCCACCCATAATGCCCTCTGTAGGAATGTCTTTGCAACTTTTGGTGCTTTGCTTTTCCATATAAGTAATAAAATCAGCTAGTCAAATTCCACAAGAGGAATTTCTACAGCCTCAATTTGTTTCAACTAACTATAATTAATCTTTGTCCTTTGATGCTCAAATTGTCACATGTTGGCTGGTAGGAATCCCTTTAAGTTGGGGCCTTTGTCCTTTCAGGCTTACAACAGACATTTTAAAAGCATTTGAATTTTCTGACCACAAAAAAAAGTTATTCCAGTTCTTGACCTAATACATGGAAATCACTTTAAATGAGGAATAATGATAAAGACCAAAATTTGGGCACTGGGGTATTCATTCCAGATTGTTCCATGTGGGTATTAGTGATAGAAAAACATTGCACAACTACAGTAAGAAACAGAAAAAAGGTGCTTGTCTCTGAAGTCATGAATTCACATTATTTCCAATGAATTCTAACATAACAAAATTCTTTAAGAATTGTATTAAAAGTTTTAATTTTATTTTCTCTGCAACTTAATAACTATACTTATAATTATTGTACCTCCTACACAAATATGACATTCAATCAATCATTATCACCTTTTATTACATTTACACATGAAGATCCAAAGTTTAGTTTCCAGCTTCTTCACATTGAGAATTTAAATGAATCTCTTTAGTCATCATGGTGGCAGGCTGCTTTGTGCCATTCCTGCTCAGGACCCCAGGTGATTTAGAATATTTGGGACCACAGCTGGCTGGTTAGCTCAGCTGGTTAGAATGCAGCCTTATAATATCAACATCACGGGTTTGGATCCCCATAACAGCCAGCCACCAAAAAAAAAAAAAAAAAAGAATATTTGGGACCAACATCCTAATTCTGCAGCACATCAGAGAACATGGCTTTCCCATTGCTTGAATTTGTAGTTTCTCCTTAATTGAATTTTATATTGTAGGATGTGTCACAGCTCTGGCAGCTTCTGATAGATAAATGTTTGGTACCTGAATGATGGCCTTTCGTGATACACGGATCAATTGGCCATGCTATCCTATTTGAAAATTCTAGGACATGGTTGAGGACGTTGTGGATGACTTCCCAATATCCATGTCGTCTCACATGGGTATTGCTGGCCCATGACAGTAATTCCTCCCCCTTGACAGTGATGAGTTCAGGATGGACAGGTCTAAGCCACATGGTACGTGAGATGGGAGGTAAAGCAGTAGGGTTCCTTGGGAAAGATGCCTTGACCCAAAGAGCACGTCCCCTGACACGGTGCTCTCTTCCTCTGATGTCTGGTGTCTGAAGGCGAGGGCAGAGAGCAGAGATGTAAAAGCCAGGTCCTGGGTAATGTTGCCGCTGACGCGACCTGGCCAGGAGCCCTCCCTCTGGGTCTCACTGTGAGCTGAGATAACAAATGGCCTTATTGTTCAAGCCACCTCAACGTGTGGTTTCTGTTCCTTGAGGCTGGGAGTTTCCTAATGTAGATCTGTCTGAAGAGACCTGGCAGTTTCTACAGGCTTTAATTATTTTACCTATGACAGTTAATCTTCTAGATCTTAGGCCTCATGGCTAGTTTAACATCAGCACAGCCAGGTCAGGCAACTTTCCACCCTTCTCCTCCTCCCCTTTCCCTTTTCTGCTCCAGGAAGGGGGCATCGAAATTCCTCTCCTGGGAAGGGGTAGACATGACCGTTGTCATCAAAGGGACGTCTTGTGGGCCGCGTTAGCTGGCTTCCGCTGGAACGCTTTGTACTGAAATAGGGGCGACACTAATTAGAAGACTGTGCCCTAACCGACCAGATGTTAGCGGACCACAAGGGCTGTGTCACCTTGCACACCACTGATTTCGGAATTGCCCATTACTCCGACAGAACTCTCAACGGCTTATAAATCTCCTGCTTTCCTCTGTTCTGGGGAACTGATCTGACTCAGTCTCCCCTCCACGTTGGTGGAATAAAGCCTCTTGGCTGAAATAGTACCTGGCTCGGGTCTCTCTCTCCCTTTTCTCCATCTCCCCGAAACTAACACTAGATAAATTACATTTTGCTACTATATTAGAGTTCAGTTTTTCTAATGACATTTTAAATGACAAACGTGTTTCCATATTTTAATTGAAATCAACCACGCATGGTGCTCCCAAAGCAGACAGTTCATCAGAGGTCTCAGAGGTGAGGACACCTTCTCCTCAAGGATACATGCGGACACCCCCATATCACCTCTCCTGCTTCTCCTGATGCCAGTTTCCCTTGACAATGACTGTTAGATGCAGCTCAATTTCAGAAATGCTAAAATGTGAGCAAACGAGAGTCAGAACTGAGAAAGTGTTTTTTAAATGTGGAGAGGCTTTTTTTCTTTTTTTTCTTTTCGCAATGGGGGTGGCTTGGGACTGGAAGTGGACACAGATGGGTGAAGAAGGGACTCTGAGCTGAGGACAGGATTGTCTGGTGTCCAGTGTGAAGACTTCTAGGAAATACGGAGATGCCACCACGAGGACACTTGCACCTTCCCCAGGCCCGGCCGCTCAGGCTCAGGCCCCGCCCCTTTCTCGCCGCCCGCGTCCCCGCCCCGCCCCGTCTGCGGCCGACTTCGCGGCGCCGCCCGGCCAGCGCCTCCGCCCCCGAGCGCCCGGGCGGGCGGGGT